ATAGCCTCCTAGACTATTGAGGGTTACACACTTTATATTATATCTTACAAACCTTATGTTATATTCTAGATCCCTAATGACACATGACATGTAATCTAGCAACATATGACATGTGTTATACCGATAACAACAAAAAAGATAATATACAAATTATAAAATTTATCCATCTACCCCCCCCCCCCCCTCCGGGTGGTCTTAAAACTTTGAGATGAACTCAAGGTCTTAAAACACTCAAACATATCTTGTTTATTCCATACGGGCAAAGGCTCGATTTATAGGCTCAAGAGAGTCGGTTACATAATTGAATTGCGATCGTATGATTGCAAGACGACAAACATATTTACAATATAACCTCCTAGACTATTCAGGGTTACATACTTTATATTATATCTTACAAACTTTATGTTATATTCTAGATCCCTAATGACACACGACATGTAACCTAACAACACATGACATGTGTTCATTATTTATTCCCTTCAAGATAATGAAATTACAGCCGACGCACTTAGAGCCATTGAAACATTCGAACAGCCGTTCGGAAAATTCTCTCATCACCTAGCCGAATTATCAGTTGAACTTAAAAAAAAACAACTCTGTAAACACGTGATGCATGTCCCATGACACAATTGTAGTCATTGTGAAGTGAATACAGAAGAAACACCATTCATGGAAGATTAACGTTAGCCATGACATAAGCAAACATTATTCAGAAATATATGTCATTTTGAAGGCGGGAGGAATGACGCACGCAATGACGCAACACTCCATTATTATTGAAGACACGTGTCCTTTTTGTTGTGGAAATTGTATTTTATAATTTGTATATTATTTTATTTATTGATATTTGTCGTTATCGGTAGAACACATGTCATGTATCGCTAGGTTACATGTTATGTGTCATTAGATATCTAGATCCATTACACTATCGTCTGTTCATTGAAGTTTCGGTAACCATTTGTTGATTGGCAGTTAATGCAAAACATTATAATATTTAAGTTGTTTGATCATGTTGTTCAATGTCATTTTATTAATGATCATTTTAGCTACCTCACACACTAAAAACAAAACATTCTTTATCATAAGTTACGGAGTAATGAAACATAATTCGGCTTCTTTTGGTAAGTTTCGATCATGAATACTGAAGTAACAATAAAAAAAAACTTACAAAAATTCCGTCACATCAAATCATATAACGAATTTTTTGAAATAAACTTATTAGTTAATAGTAGTTAAGATTTTTTATTTGTATATAAAAGGGAAGATATTTTGTTAAGAACAAAAGAGAAAGGGTGAAAGTGCTTCAAGTCAAAAGAAACGATGGGAACACGACAAACAAGAACAGCTGGCCGGGGCGGGGCGGGGCCACAGCCGTATTCCGTCGGTCAAATAAGGCTATTATTATATGTGGCCGCCTTCAATGTTCTTACCCTACACCCTGTCTTGTTGTGCTCACACGTCGTTGTTCTTGGAGTTTTCAAAGATAAATATCATATTTTGTAGGTTGCGATAAACACATTCTAGTATGTTATCTTTTTTTTTTTTTTAAGATAAAAAGACAATTGAGGTGAATTTTATAAGCTTGTTAAGAGTTAAGACTTAAGACTCAAATTACCATTATTAGCAACCTTTTGAAAATATCAAAACCGTTACGAAAACGTAAAAAAAAAGTCGGTTGTTATCATTCTTATGGGGTTTTTGGTATTTTCGCAAAAATGAAGAGACCCACAATTTTCCTATATAAAAACTTTAATTTTCATAGTTTAACTTTATGTGGAAAAGAAAAAACGAACTTAAAAATATATGAGTCCACTATCAAATAATTATATGAGAGACTTAACCCAAGCATAGTTCTATGTTCAAAATTCATATTTGAAGGCTTTGATTTCAAGTTCAGCTTTATAAGATGAATATTTTTTTATTTTTGTTAGTACAAATCTTTCTATCTAATTAAATGATTATACATATTATATTAATATATTAAAATATTATTAAATAAACATTAAATATTACACACGTTAGTATTTAATTGGATAAAAAAATTTATAAAAACAAAAAATGAAAGAATATTTCAATTTTACCAACAAATATATGTTTTCTCATGGTTATCTAACAAAATACCATATTTTTCTAAGGAAAGTAAAAAAAAAAATAAAAGAAAATTATACGAATGGTTCTTGTGGTTTAGAGTAGTTTGCATGTTAGGTTTTTACTATTTGTTATTGTTGCTTGTTTGGTTATTATCTAACCGAAAAACTATTATGCTCTTCTGAATTTTTTAAAATTAATTTTATTATGGATATATTTATTTTAGTTCATTATTGTATATTTATAATTAAACTGCCACCATCAAATTAAACCCACCCACCACCACTAAAATAACCAACAACCAACAATCACAACCTCCTCCTCCTTCCCTGCTAAAACAACCGCTATCTACCACCAGCCACCGACAACCATGGTCAGATTCCTGAAAACAAATAAAAAATCAAGAACAAACCTGATGAATCAAAAATAAAATACAAACCGAATAATTAAAATCAAAACTTGTAATCAACACCAAATTAAACCAAAATCAAGAACAATCATGAAACCTATTTCCAGAAAATTACCAAACCTATTTCCCTCATTGTGCGACTTCGATGAAATGAGGGGAAGAGAGAAGTTGGAACCATAGGAAGGGAGAAGATGAAACCAGATCGGAGTTTACATTTGATGGTTATGGCGGAAAAACAAATGGAGAATCAGATTAGAATTTGAATATGGTGGTGACCGATAATTTCGTAGGCTCCTTGCTGCCTTCGACATATTCCCATCGGATAAAAGCTTCGAACCAATCTTGTTGGTGTTTAAAAGCATCCAATTAACCTCGTGACATTTAAAAGCTTTGAGCCCATCTCGTCACTGTGTAAAAGCTTCCAACTAATTTGTCTTAAGTGTGTAGAAACTTTGAATATGACTTTTATGTGTGTGAAACAACGAAGATAGATTCAGGAGTTCAAGAGTTCAATCTTTTTGGAAGTGGTGTTGTTGTGTTCTCTGAAACTATTCAAGAGAAAGGTTTTATGGGACCCATTTCGTTATTAAATATTTTTTTAATAAATAAGTAAACAATAACTAGTAAAAAAAATTAAAAAAAGAGTAAATTACACGAATGTTCCTTATGGTTTAGGGTAATTAGTGTGTTTGATGCATAACTTATTATTGTTATTATTTTAACTTGAAAGACCTATACTGTTTGTTTTTGTTATGCGCTTGGTTCCTGCTTACCTAAAAAAACTATATTGCCAATTGATTTTTTAATTTATTTAAATAAACACACCCCAACCCACCCCTCACCTTCCCTTAGACACCCCACTATTTTTTCCTATTTAAATAATAATATTTTTAGGTAAGACATGAATCAAGCGCGTAACAAAAACAAACAGTAGGGACCAAGCGCGTAACAAAAATAAACAATAGATATAAGTTAGAAAATAAGTTAGGTACCAAGCACCCAAAATACCCCAAGCCATAGGGACCATTCATGTAATTTACTCTTTAAAAAACAATAAGAGACGGTAATATAGTCTTTTTACCTCTGAGAGGGACCAAACGTGCAATATAGATAATATAGATATAGGGACAGTTTGAATTAAAAATTTAAATTAGGAACTAAACGTGCAATTTACCACAAATCACATGGACTATTCGTGTAATTTTCTAAAAAACACCATAGTATGCAAATCTTAAATCCATGCAAAAATATATGAAAATGAAAAGAATTTTTTTAGAGCGTCTTATGTAAGGATGTAAATGAAAAAACTAATCGAGCTAGATTTGTTTAAAGTTATTGAAGCTCGAGGCTCGAAACATATATGAAGCTCAAAATTGGTTCATTAAAGCTCTTTTGTCCATAAACATTGTTAAAGATTGGGATCACTTATTATTATTATTATTTTTCATATTTTATTAATAAAAATAATAGATAATAGTATATTAAACAAAAGCCTGTTTAAGCTCGCAAGCTTAAACAAGCCATCAATGTAGGCTAGAGATTGGACTTGTTTATTAAACGACTCAAACTCCATTCATTTTAAACTTTTAACAATCCGATCCAGATAAATGCCAAATTTACATCCCTAATTTTTTTGTTTCCAATGCAAAAATAGAAAGGAAAAAAAAAAGAGATTTTATTATTATTATTATTATGGTGGAAAGGGCTAAGTAGGGTCCATTGATTTTAGCCCATGTCCCAGCCTTTTAGCCTGTTTGGCGGGCTGTGAAAATTAGATTACGAGCTTAATAAGATTTGTTTAAATTTGTCTCTTTTTCTATTTTTTAATATATGCTGTTTTATCTTAATTATATTATAGATACGCTTTTTTTTTTTGTGAAGTTATTAAGTATTACTTTTAGTTCTTTCATTAAAACAAATGATTAAAAAAAGTAGTTAATTATAAGATTACGATGATGCTATTAAGATGATATTAATATAATTTGACATAAAACAATAGTATAATAACAATAAACAAAAATTAGATATTACGGGGAAGAAAGCTCGCCTATGGTGATAATGCTAAACAATTTTCTTTTAGACTATTGAATGTAGCTCCTAAGATTTTAACATGTGTAAATGGTAAGTGAGCCACATGTTCCACATGCCTTATAAAATGAACCATTAGGCTTGCGACCAAATGAGCATGTTATTTTCCTACAATTAACCCTACAAAAATATTGAAGATAACATATAGAGCAAGTATTTCTCTAAAGTAGTAAAATATTTTTAAAAAATAAAGAATTCAGTCACTATAGGGAGGAAGAAGAAATTGTAGAGTTTTTGGCAGAAGAAACGTATGAATTGAATTAAGTTGGAGATTATTAATTAAATGTTTACATGCATGCATGGAAGCAAATTAATTTTGAGATTGTGCACATACATATATATATATATATATATATATATATATATATATATATATATATATATATATATATATATATATATATATATATATAATGTCATATAATAATCTAAATACAAAATTAAATCATCCATCACCAATCTAACTCTATGTTCCTAGAAATATAATGATTATCAATGTTTTTTATAACTTCATGCGCCGCCTTTATGTACCTCCTCATTTCTTTCTCCGCTGATTTATCTAACAACCAACAAGCAACAAAATCAAGATCAGATAATATTTATTTACTTACTATCAATGTTTGTTTTTCGTTTTTAAATTAACAAAAACTAGTTAATTACCAGTTTCATTTATTTTTAGCAAGAGTTGTTCCCTTGTTGGAAGTGTACACATCCCAGCAGAAACAGCAGCCCTAACTGCCCACGTGTGATATGGTGCACACACTTGTTGATATGCTTGTGTCGCTGCTTTTTTAAGTGAATGGTTCCTACGTTTATATATATATATTATAATTATAATTATATATATATATATATATATATATATATATATATATATATATATATATATATATATATATATATATATATATATATATATATATATATATAAGTGCATAGCAATTAGCATACTCGTCTGATATGAAATTCTGAAACAATTCTTTAATGAGATCAAGACCCTGGCGAACTCTGCGAAGGTTACGGGTATGGCTTCCAGGTGATTTGACTGTCTTATTTCTCAAGTCAAACTCAACCACGCTGCTTAATGTAGCGAACTGCTTTGATGCTTCAAGAAGATCACGCACCTAAAATCAAATCAGATCACTCACTTTTTACTTTTTATTTATTATTTATCTTCTAAGTGTGTTGTAGTATTGCTGTTAAAAAAATAGTAACATTCATCATCTATAACTCATTCCTTGATATAAGTCTGAAATCTACAGTTTTGATTATAATCATATGTTGATTCATGAATCACGTATAGAAACGCCCTGTTATCAGGATATCAAAAATAGGTTAAAGAAAAACTATATAGGTTATACTATACCAATGATCTATGTGGAAATATATCGCAGAATTGGGGATATGGTTAAAGCTTGATCATCATTCAGATTTCAAAAGAAAAAAACAAACCTTTGAGGTGTATTCCATCTCTGCGAATCTGAAAGCAATGCCGAGACAACCAAAAAGCACAGACACCAAAGTACAGGCTTCACAAAACGGCTTCAAACGCAAATCAACGGAACCCTCACTTTTGTTCCCCTTTTTAATCAAATCCGCAATTTCCTCAAACGCCTGTGCGATGGAAGCAAGAGGGGTTTCTGTTCTATTAGCATCTTTGTTGTCGTCATCGTCATTATTCATCTTCCGGATCCTAACACTTCACGGATTAACATAAACAATGAATAAAAATACAGTCCCCGTTGAGATCATCTAAAACCTAAAAAAAACGAGAAACAAAAATCTGGAAATTTTGAAAAAAAAGAAAGAAATAGAAAGTGAAATTAAGGAAGGAAGCGCATACTTCTCTCGACCCCTGTCCCTGTTAGAGGCGAAGTATGAAAGGAGAGCCATTGAATTTGTGTCTGAATCTCTACAGTTGCGGCATGCCCTAAAAAACCGGCGATTTTGTGTGTTTGATTTTTGGACAATTGGACGGATGAAGGTGGTTCTGTTTCGCGCCTTCACGGAATATGCAAGTTTGCGTATTTATTACTCAACTCTGATTTGAATCTCCAACGGTTGGACCTTCTACTTTATCATAATATTCGCAATGGTCCCTTTTAAAGAATCAACATATTTTTCCATTTAAATTAAAAATTAATATCTATAAAACTCAATATTCTTCCACCTTTAAGCTTTTGTCTAAAAATGTACCCAAACTACTTTTTTTTATAATGATTTTTATGGGAAAAAAATTGGTGAATTTATGCAGATTTTTTGAATAACCTTCTTAATTTTTTTAGATTAAATTATAAAAATGGTCCTATGTTTGTTAAAAAACTTCATTCCAAATCCAATTTTCTCTCCCCATCATCTCAGTCTATGATTATATTTTGTTGCACCCGTCTTTCCCTTAATTTCTGTTAGATTTCAGCTATTGCCCATGAAAACATACCTCTCACATGAGGACATAATGGTCATTTTCCTCTTATCTTAATGAAAGTTATATATATAAAATAGAACATGGTTTCACGATCCGCCCCACCCTAACTTTCACTAGCCGCTTCATCTTTTTTTTGGGTCTCCCCCCCCCCCCCCCCCCAACACATTTTTACCAATGCCAACTCTAACAACACCGTCTTGCCTAATTAAACATTATTGCTATAGATCATATCGCTTGCATAATCTATGAGTCGCAAGCTTGTTTTTGGCTTGGCTTGGCTTCGACATCTACCACCCTCATCTTTTCAACCAACACCCTTAAAGCAACTTCAATGGGAAAACAAGCAACTTTAAAAGCACAACCATCATAATAAATTCGAACATCATTACAAACAACAAATATTTCAACAACTTGTAAAATAACGTCCACATCGAAACAACTCCATTTGACAATACAACCGTCTTTAGGGTCTTAGATTGTTCCTTCCACATGAAACATCCTAGGAGCATTTATTTTCATTCCAAACGTGAAAATATGTGACACAAACATCAAAGTGGGGGTTTGCATGCATGTTTTAGGGGGTGTTTGATAGACTCTTAATGAGACCATTCAACGACAACCTCTAAATTGTTCAATCGTTAAGATTGTTTGGTTTGTTAAGTTCGAGCCTCTAAATCGGTCATATGCATCTAAATAGTTTAGCTGGAAGGATGAGTCTTAAACATTTGGATGCGAGAAACTACATCCATTATCATTCTCTCTTTAAACAACACTTATCCTCAAATTCTTTCTACAAACCCTAGAAACATTAAGCATCAACCGCGACCCTCACCTTCAACACTGTAAGTCGTTGCCCTCACCACCACTATCATCACATATCACCCTTACCACCACCACCATTGGCTGTCCACTCACCAGCTCCACCATCAGCCTTCGTAGTAGCGTGCGCACACACACACACACACATAGAGAGAGTGAGAGAGCTTGCTCACCACCATTGGTATGTTTGGTGCATTAATGTAAGAGATAAACAAATATGGGCTTAAAGTGCCGATTCCTTGAAAGATGAAGGTAGGAATCACTTAAGGACTCGGAATGCAAAAAAAAAAAAAAAAAAAAAAAAGAAATCAAGGATCAAAGTAATATCAAACTTAATACTTGGTTGGCCAAAAATGAGATTAACCCCAAGTATTAACATACTTCTTTACACTAATTCTAATCAAAATGACAATGATCACCACAAAAAAAAAAAAAAAAAAAAAAAAAAAAAAAAAAAAAAAAAAAAAACATCACGTGTTCTCTTTGATTTCCTTTACAATCACAACAAATATCTCCTCGGGTTGCCTCTTCCACAAGTAATTTGCGGCTTCTAACCACCGTGGCTGAACCAAAAACTTGTTTTGTTGAGTCGCCCAATGACACCTCTCATGTTCACCATCTATGGAAATGATGTGTGTCACTGACATGTCAACATCTGTCACACATTTAGCCCCTAATCTCTCTGCTATTTTCCATAACCGATGAAACTCTGTTGCCAACACACGACAGAAAAAAAATCTTACACCCCTTCAAGATTTCACCACGAACTGTCCCCATCACCTGCAACACTATATATTACAAAAATGAGTCCCTATCCTTTTTCATTTTTATCATATTTAGTCTAAAAATAAAAATGTTTTCAATTTTTGTCTTGTGGGTTCTTATTTCAACCATATTTGGAAGAAATTCATCCTAAGGAACAAATCTTGTACGTTATGCTAAGTATAGGGACCATTTATGTAACTTTGTCTAAAAATTAAATTCTCACCTGTCTTACATCTCGACCTGTGAAATTATCTCCAAGTTCCTAAAATGGAAAATAATTAAACGCAATTTTTGAACATATTTTTATATATATTTGATAGATTCATAGAAGAATATATACCAAATCAAAGAACATATGATGGATTCGCTTGAGCACTTGTAAAATTCTTGCAAGAGCTCCATCAACTTCACTTTCATCCAATTTCAATTCAGATAATGATTTATAACCTTTGCATCTTAATTCTTTACAACTTGAAGCGAAAAAATGATATCTTTCCATCAAAATAAGATTCTCCTTGTCCTTCTTACCCCACACCTACATATTCAAAGTAACCAACTTTTTAATTAAGTTACAAAAGTGGTCTCTATGCTTTCTGATCTTTAACATGTTTACTCAAAAATTGAAACTTTTTTAATATAAAATCAAGATCTTGGGTACAAACTAAATGTAGTCTAAAAGTGCTTACTCTTTCTGTATCATCAAGAATTAGAATAGCAGTTTCTTGAACAAGAACCACATCAAGGGTTTTGTGATGCGTTTTAGGGCAATCAGTTAGAGCAATCACTCTTGAATCAAAGTAAACCTTTTTAGGGTCAATCAGATTAACCATTTCTAGAGCATAAGCTCTTCCTCCCCTTGTGTAAATGTACATTTCAAAGAGTTCACTTGCTTCTTTCAAGAAAGTGTGAACAAAAGGTCTTAACTTTGTTAACATTTGAATGGAGTCTAGTTTGAAGAGACTCTCTCTTAATGCATCTGTCAAAAAACATTTTCACTTTACTACTTTCACTTATAACTCAAGAAACATAAATTTAGCATAAGGGAATAGTAATAATACCTTGTGTATGTTCACTTTGGTTCATTAAATATCCTTCTTCTTGGGTTAAATCTGTAATTTGAGTTGAGTGAAGTAAGGTGTGATCTAAATCAAGATCTAAGCATAGCTTTTTTTGGCTAAAAAGATTCTTTAAATCTCTTTCACGCAAACGAGTGATCTCATCCTTAGTAAGCCTTAGAACCTTCAAATTGAGATATGATTATATAAGTTTTTTCAGGAATATGCAATTGAAAACTTATTTGGTTTTATGAAAGAAGAGAATAACCTTGTGTATGTACCTAAATGCAACACCGGTTTTTTTATCCATTTTTTCTCCACACTTGAAGCACATTCCTACAATAGTACCAGGATGTGTGCATATGTCCTTCTTCATTGATGTTTCTACATTTTCTAACACATCATCGATCTTTTGCCTTTTTGTCCTATGGAATAAAATCTATTAAAAGTGGAAAAAAGAATCACAACTGAAACATTCAAGACACTTGATTATACCTTTTCTCACATGCAAAAAAATAGATGCATTAAAGATGGAAACTTAGTTGTTGCATATCTAATTCTTTTTGAGTGAAATAGTTTCAATAGGCACCTATTTATATCCATATGATCATATGTCTCATTGGCATCTTCTTTTTGTTCAGGAGAGGTATCAGATGTGGAATCCAACTCTGTATCCAGAACTTCAGCAAAATCATCAATGTTGGATGAGTTCACCTGTGAATCATCACCCATCACACTCATCTAAAATGCCACCTATATAAAGAACCATACACCAAAAAGGGTTTCATTAATTGTTACATTTGGTATTTAAGATGAGAAAATAGAGATAATAGAAAGGGATTTCTGTTTCATGAAAAACTGTCGAACAATAAATCAGTCAATGCTACATCCCCAAAACGTTAACAACCTGCTTCCGAGCCCTAATATGATCAGAGACCCTTGAGCCTCAAATTCGCTCTTAGTAGTCGATTAATAGTTTAATACGCATGCAAGATTTGGTTTCTAAACAATTCTTGATACAGAGGTTGTGTTAAATCACGATACTAATCAAATAAACAATTCTAGATTATCACGATGACGATTTTAGATTGATTTGATCAATTTGAATTCTTTTAGAACATCCATCAAACACTTGAAAGCATAAAACCTAGGGAATATATTATGTTTTATGTTTACTATCCTCAAACGCTTTCGCCAATACGATGTAAGTTCAGAACACTAGTTAACAAATTCATCATTAGAATCAACGATATACTATTGATATGATATTTCTTGGGAAAAAAACAAATACTAAAACCTTCAAGAAACCCAAATCAACGAACGATTGCCTGAGAAGGGCTCTGCATCGCTGAAGTAGAATGGTCTGTCACCGCCGGAGGTTGGCTCACCTGAACAAGGTATGGAGAATGGGTGCGTACAAGGGAGCCCCAAATCGATTCGTCTCGACTCTAGACCCTAAACCCTCGAAATCAATTGCAGGTTGTATTTGGTAAATCACGAACGAGGATCTTCCCATGCAACCGTTATAAATAATAAATATCGTATAAAAGGACCGACCCGACCCGACCCATAATTTATCAAATTACGCCCTTCAAATATTCTTTTATGAAGAGAACATGAATATTTTACTTTCAATATACGTTTATTTTTTATTTTCTTCTAATGATTCAACTATATCGACGGGCCAATCATCTTTCTACACTTACTGCCAAGTTACTAAACAATAAACATGTATATCATGGATTTCCCTATTTCAAGCAAGCTTGACAATGAGAGGGCTATGAGAAGGTGTTAGGAAATTTTTTTCATTGTTTTAAATACAGATTTTGTGTTACATACAGGTTGATCCTCAGAATTCAAATGCTCAAGACGAGCTAAAAAAAACTTTTAAACCTTAACGTGTAACGAATTAAATTACATAAAATAATTTTAAAAAAATAAAGATAAACCTTATATCAATAAACATAGAAAAATCATAGTATGTTTATTAGATAACCTGATTTTTTATAAACAATTATACAACCAACATAATCTAGTAATTTAATTTCCATTTCTAATAATCTATTTCAGAATTATTATTCATTCATTCATTAACCTTGATTTCAGAATCATTATACAATTAACATTAACCGTGATTTTTAGTCATCATTCATTCATAACATTGATTTCAGATTTTCAGTTATCACTTATCAAAAATAGGGCTGTTAATCGGGTCAACCTGATCAAGTTTAGGTTAAACAGGTCGGGTTAGTCAGGTTTCGAGTTAACTGAGTTGGGTTATCCAGGTTAATCGGGTTAAAATAAAAATAAAATCATATCTGTTTATTTTAGCAAATAACATAAAATTATAAGGACCTACAATGTAATGTTTTAAAAAGTTCTCTCTTTTGTGGAGTTTGTACATAGATTGACCCTAGGTGGATTCACAAAGTTGTAATTCATATATTTAGAATTTTGGTAGGTTCTTGTGTGTTTGTGAACTGTGAACACTATCATTTATCAAATATGTCTTTTTTTATTCTTATTCTTATTCTTATTATTATTATTATTATTATTATTATTATATTGCATTTTTGTTAGTTTATAAATTGACATGGCAAAAACATGAATATAAAATACTTGTTGACACACTCAATAATAAAATTTATGTCACAAGCAAAGTTTAACATATTAACAACAAAACAAATGAGTTTGAAATCAAGTATTTATATCCAAAATAAGTGTTGAATTGGCAAAAACAAGCTTCATTTATTTTATTTTTCATGTTCAAAATTATAAGTTTGCACATTTTTGTTCCAGCAAAACTACAGAAACAAAAATAATTAGCAACATATAATAAGGTAATTTTAGTAAAAAAATTATAGATGATTGAAGGTACCTTTCTCTAGGAGAATTATTGTTTCCTAAACTTCATTTTTTTTCCATATTAATACTTTTACGAAGCCAATCTTGTGTACAAATTAAGCTTTCTATAGTTTTGCCGCCTAAAGAACTCCTATATGAATCCAACACCCTTCCGCTCGCGCTAAATACCGACTCCGAAACCATGGTTGAGATCGGAATAGCTAACAAATCTTTAGCCATACGAGATAAAATTAGAAATCTCAGGCTATTTACCTTCCACCAAAGTAATATCTCAAAACTACCATTTGTATCAAAATTTTCAACACTTTCACCCAAATACTTATCCAATTCACTAATTGATGATGAGGATGTTTGGCTCTTTTTCATCCTATTTCTCAACCTATCTCCATGATTGGAATTTGTTGTGGTAGATGTAGGATTATTGGAGTTTGACCGTTTTCTTAATGTTGAAGTTGAAGAAGTAGTAGATGACAGGCATGAATCTTCATACAAAGCTTTTAATTCATTCTTTATGTGTATTTTCTTTAATTCAACAATTGCTTTTCCTTCAAGCTCATAATGATCATCCAAAATAATTTCCAAAAATTGTTTCTTGTTTCTTGGATCAAGTATGAAGGCAAAACATACCAACAAATTCATATTTTCAATATCACCAAAATATTTGTCGAACTTAGATTTCATCACCTTAGCAATATCATAAAGATGTTGATCCGTTGATTGTTCTTCTAAATAATTGCATTGATGTTGTTCTACCAAAATATTGTGTATTTTAGCTAACTCAAGCACAAGAATGTGTGATGTCACATGCTTTGTCCCGTAAAATTTCAATGTAACATCATGAAATGTTTTGAGAAATTGACACAACTTTCTAGCTTTTGTCCAATCTTCCAATGTGGGAATCGAATGGCCTTTGTTGTGTATTTCATTACCAAAACCCACATCTTACAAGTTATACCTATCAAAAGCTTGTTCATAGGCTTGAGGTACTTCCAACATTTCGTAGGTGGAATTCCACCTATGTGCAACATCAATGATCAAGTGTTTTGTACTTGCACATCTAGCATTTTCAGCGCATTTAGTGAAATTCTCAAGTCTATTACGTGGATTTTTAGTCCACTTAATTGCACATCGTATGTTCACAATTGATTTATTAAACTTTTTAATACCATCTTGTACTACTAGATTCAAAATGTGAGCCACGCATCGCATGTGATACATTTTCCATGCAACAAAAAATTATGATTATTTGCAAACATTCTTTTCAAAAAACCAATTGCATTATCATTTGCGCCAGCGTTATCAACTGAAATTGTCAAAACATTATCAATTCCACACTCATTCAAACAAATCTCTACTCCTTTTCCTATCTCAACCCCCCGATGACCATCAACTTGACAAAAATTCAATAGTTTTTTTGCAAGTCACACCCCCAATCCTGAATGGTGGAAACATTCAGGGGCGGAGGACGTCATGTACACTATCATAACAAATGAATAATAAAGAAAGTACACACCAACATAATATATCTTTTGGAATGTTTACATGATTGTTGTATTACATGTTTCAAAAGTCAAATACAATATGATGCTCCAAAAGATGTCACTAACGCCTGAACATTAGTCCCCAAAAGTAGTTCCTAACCTGGTGTTTAGCGATTCCCTGAGAATACAAGTTATTTCAAAGAAAAAGTGTTAACAATTAAGTTGGTAAGTTCATAAGTAGATATTTGTGTAAATGTATGCCGTTCGAAAGTTTATGTTTGATTTCCAGAAAATCCGATATTTTCTTATAAAATGAGTTATGAATCGTTGTTTGTATGAAATGAATGTATTTAACTAGGAAAAATCTACATTTTCCTAAAAGTGAGAGGAAGTCTTAAATGTCCAATACTGTAACTTGTAAGCAAATATAGGATGCTTAAAATGATGATGTATAGTTTTATTATAAATCAAAACTATAGGAAGCTTGTAATTGTACGTAAAAGCAAATATAATATTTACTTTTCCCGTAAAAACATAATACCATGATAATTGTCTATCCTATGAGTTTTCATAACCGTACTATGATGGATTTGCCTGTAGCGACGTCCTTCAGGCGTCGAAATGTTATGATATTTGTCATCCCGCGGACTGTAGCTAACAGTCAAGATGCGGGATCATTAGTCCCTTATAGATCTACACACACTTATCACGTTCTCCGGGCGAAGACTCTGATTATAAAACAAGGCTTTCTTATATACCTTGATAGGTACGAAGAAGACGAAATGACTCACAGATTCTTAATTAAGTCATGTATTCTTGAAATGAAAGTGTTTATGTCCAAAATTATTAACCTTTCTACAGTGTTGACAAAGGCATAATAATGAGTTGTATTTTCTTGTATAAACATAATGTTATAGTTGAAATGGTTACCCTTGGTATGATGTAGTATGCAGACAGATAAATAAAACATATTTCTATTTATAAAACGTATTGTATCCCATGAGGGTAAACTTGTGATGTGTGATGTTTTGCATGTTAACAACTTCATATGATAGTTAATACGATAGTATGAAAGTATAGCAAAACATTGATGTTTTCACATGAGTTTAACCGTGTGTTTACTTGTGTCCCCCCCCCCCCCTTAAAAGTGTTTAAAAGCATTTAAAAAGTGTAGTGATAGGGGTATGAACTCACATGGTAGAAGTGACGATTTGATGAAATCGATGCTTTGCTCAGCCAACACTTCGACCGGAAAGGAGTCGATTTCTCGGAAATCTAGGGAACTTCGGGACTTCGGGCTTCCATCAGGGCTTCGACATGTAACCGGGGCGTCGGGGTAGTCTCGGGATGCTTAACGCAGAGTAAAAGTAGAAAGGGAAGTAGAGTTGAGCAGCCTAAACCCGAGACCTTCGGTTTCTATTTATAGGGAGTAATTTTGGAGCTCATGCCGTAAGCATGGAGTGGCTCACCTCACGAGTTCGATCCTATCCATCCGCTGACTCGACTTCTGACAGCCTGACCCTAGAGCCTATCCATAACTGGCTCATGTCGTGAGTCCTCTGACAGTGTGGGAATTCGTGTATCGAACTTCAGAAATTCATATCTCTCGTATACGAGCTCCGATTTTGACATTCTTTATATCCATGCGTATGTGAGATTATGTTCTACAACTTTTGTTTAGATTCTGTCGGCTAATTTTGACTCTATTTTTATATTGTATTTTTAACAGGTCGGGACTAGAAAAGTTTGTTAAAAATCCATAACTTCTTCATCCGACGTCCGTTTTCATCTGTCTTTTTACCATTGTACTACTATTGTCGAGATCCTTGATTCTTGTTTAGGTTGCGTTGGCTAAAATTCGCTCGATCTCTATTCCGAGTTTTTAGCTATCTACTACTATATTCGAAACTTAGGAAAATCATAACTTCCTCATACGAAGTCAGATTTGGACGTTCTTTTTATATACGTTTACGGATTAATGATATATACGACTTTCATTTAGATACCTAAGGATATAAAGCATTTTATTGAAATTTCGCGTTTTACACTTAACAGTGTTTTACCGGTATTGCCGCGGATCTTCGATCGGTCATAACTTCTTCGTTATAACTCGGATTTCAATGTTCTTTATGTTTTTTTGGAAACATAGTTATGATCTCTACCAATTTATCTAACCCAATTGAGATTTTTGAACAATTTATTTTTGACCTGAATTTGACTGGTGTTACAGCATGTTCCAATTATTGGCTACAAAATGGGCGGTAAGAGTCGTATAACTCTTTTTCTTGATGGATGTCTAAGTATTAGTAGTCGAACATATCTTACCGATGTTTTTTTAAATTAATTCATGAAGTTTTTTTTTTTCTCTTTAGAACACAATGCCAACCACTGTTGTATTATTGTACCTCTACATGGAACATGGAATAACGGTTGAGTAATTCTATTATAATGTCTAAACCCTTTGTCCTCGACAAAACTAAATGGAAGTTCATCTACTATAATCATGTGGGCTAAGACTTTTTTACTTTCTTTTTGATGAAACTTCCTTGACATCATTTTGTTTGTATCACCATGTTCAAAAGTAATTTGAGTTTGACCAACACTTATTTTTGCCAAGTAAATTGTGCACTTTTTCAAATGATTCGAGAGATTTTTAATACCATACATTTTTACACACATAATTATGACTTACCATAATGTGTACAACATGCTCTTTAATCTTCTTTTGCCATCCCTTCTTTTAAAGGTTCTTCTTTAAAGTGATCCCAAACCTGTGATTGTTTTTTTGAAGCTCTTTGTCGTTTGACATGCTCTTGGATTTCATTTTGGATTTCATCTTGGGTTTCATCGTTATTGTTGTTTCTATCAATTTCTATTGTTGTTTTATCCTTAAACTATATTGAATCTTACATTTGTACATTATAAAAATCAATAAGAAAACCATAAATATTTAACAATGAAATTCGGTTAACAACACTTTATTTAATATTTTATAAGCTTCTGTAAAACAATTTATAAAGCTCACATATCACAAACCCTTTTCACCTCAAATTTAATATATTTAAAATTACAAACAAATATGAAACAACATTTTTTTTTAATATACAAACCCAAAGGATAGGATTATGGCTATGAATCTCCTCCACGAATGAAAGTTAACACCACAAGAAGTCAAGAACCATTAGATCCTTTAACTTTGAACCATAAAAATAGATCAATAACCATTCAAAAAATTTATTAGTTTTGACTTTCAACAAAACAGTCCTATATATTATTAATTAATGGAATTCGACTAGAACTACTAACAATATGATTTTCTGCAAATACTAAATACATATTCGACAAATACAATTCATGGTTCTAATTTTCTGCGACAATAAATAAACAATGCTATTGTGATTTCAAGCAAAGAAGCAAACACATTCCCATGAAATACATAGAACATATTCAACATATAAGTAAATAAATCAAGAATGGGAAAACGATTGAGAGTTTAATACGTGAAAACATAAAGATTTTGCGGGATCTTATTATTACTGTGTTCTTGAAGAGGATCAGAGAACTTGACGACCAAAAAAGAACTTGCGAATTGCGAGGGTTTGAGACGTATGTGTTGCGAATTATGAGGGTTTGAGGCGTGTGTGTTTTTTACTACACATATTGTTTTTGCATGACTAACAAGTAAATCACATAAGCTTAAATAGTATTGTACAATACAAGTATTGTTATTAATTATAGGCTTAAACGGGTTAACCTGAACCCGATTAAGAGAAATTTTATGCACCCGAAACCTGACCCTATACATATTACCTGTTATTCGGGTTGACCTGAGAAACCCTATTTTAATTTTAGACCCGATTAAACTCGACCCTATTTACATTATTCGGGTTCGGGGTTTTTTGACACCCCTAATCAGAATAACATTATTCTTTATTCATTCATTAATCTTGATTGTAGAATAACAAGGATAAACATTAAACCGATTTCAACCACTAACTGAGGACTACATTTTAACAAATCGAATATGGTTCCAATTTTGAGTCAAAATTGGCTTGAACTTCTGATTTCTCTGATACAAATTGATACAATTTTAACATAATCGATTTAGGGTATTAATTGATTACGAGTGCACTCACTGCCTTCAATAGGTGATCAATC